ACAATAAATCTGTATGTTCATTTTTTTACAATCTGATTGGCTATCTTTGAACACTTCTTATTTTGATTTCTTATTCTGAAAATTATTGTAACCTCAACATTTTGGTATTAGAATTTTCATCTCAAAATGATTTCAGAAATTTGTTAGTAGATGGTGTGGTAGGTCTAAAATATCCTGTATAATTTATATTAAAATGTTTAGAATATACAGGATATAATAAAATTCCAAAGAATAAATTTCAAGAACAAGTTTTTCATAATTGTATCTTAAAAAAACTATACATTTGCAAATATATTGACGTAAATTTTCTTCCATATTTTAATATAAAGAACTCGCTGAGTCTCGCAACATTTTAATTATCTGAATAAGTAGCTTAATTAAAACAATTTTTTACTGGGTAGATATTTAGCTTTTAACCTACTCTGATTATATAGATATAATTTCTTCCATTTCTGGATTATTTTTAAAAACTATTTGCAGAACTCTGTTTTTGAATTTAAAATAATATATAACGTGATAGCCTAATTGCAGTACTATGAATTATCTTGATCTAAAGAAATACATAAAGAGATTACCTCAGTTGTTTTTCAGTTTTCAATTGAATCTCCATTGCTCTGGATTTTTCCACGTCAGTCATTATTTTTATTATCGCTTTCTCTTCTCTTTATTCGCGATTATACATGTAATCAAGTGTGTTATACATGTAATAGTGTGCATCAAAGATCTGCTAAAAGATCTGCTAAAAGAAGAATTTAAAAGGAGAACTAGACAGGTTGTCAACAATTGTTTATCAATTAATAACATTTCTTTCTCTGACATAATCTATTTTTCAGTTAGGACATACAACATTACATCGTGTTTCACATCCCTTTTATATCGAGCATTTGATACGTAAACTAATTAGTAACTTTCTATTAAATTACCTTAATTTCAGCAATGTATTTAAAAAACGATGTACTAAATTGGATAATTATACAATTTAACTACATCCTAAAAATCAATAAATTCGACTTGTTCAACGTTTTCGCATGAAACAAAAGAATCTGGCAGAAATAAGCGTCATTGTGCCCTAAGAACCGAAATATTAAGCGTGAAAGCTTACGACCATTGAGGTTAGAAAATCTGTCACAGCTGCGAAATACCACACGTATGCATATGTATAAGCGTATGTTCAATACTGTCATCATTTAATGCTTTGACTACATGCGCATGCGTTTTTGATATTTCTTACGATAGTAGAGTGCACGAAATTTGATTTAAACTTAATAGACTTTGCATAATGCATAACGCATACTGTATAAGAAAATCAACCGCTTTAATATGCTTCAACATGCTCCCATTGATTTATTTTTATCGGGAGCATCGCAAAATAATGAATATTGTTGTAAATTATATATTTAAATTCACAATGCAATATACGAAATTTGTTGAATTCTACTAATATTAAAATATTAATTGAAATAAAACCGTGATTAATATCCTTTCTCGTTTGCTTTATAACCTCAAAACAAACTCCAAGATTGTGCACTAATCATTCAACTGCTCATCAAACGATGGATTAAAATGGATTGAAATTTTTTCTATCCGAATGCGTATTTTAAATAGCGAATTTTTTTTTTGGATTTAATTGGATTCAATTGAATTCAATTAAATTCTATTGGATGCAATTGGATTGAAAAACTGCATTTCCTATTCAAAATTTTGAATTGAACAATATTCACAATGCACAGAAAAAGCTAATATTATTTTTAGATTGAAAGGTATAGAGATATGCTCCAATTCCTATAAATGAATAAAAATGCATTCAGGCATTGAAAAACATTCATTTTAACATTCGTGAATCAATATTTCTGAAAATCTGAATCCATTTCAATTCATTTCAATCCATTCTCATTTGCTGAGTTCTTATTGAATATATCGCCGCTCATTGTTCATTTCTCATCGCGTCCAGTGTGCAATAGGTATTAATATACGCGAGTACTCGTCCTTCTGGACAAGATCAAGATTGCATCTCTGTAATCGAATCGGGCGACTTTTGTAACGAATGATCAAAAAATGTCACGTTACGGGTTAAAACAATTATTACGACTAGCTCACATAATTACATATATTATAATCTACAACTATAAAATAATGATAATAATTAAATATTTTAAGAAATAGTAAAAAGGTTATTTGCTACACAATGAAAGTATCGTTTGAAATCAACTTGGTTTTAACAATAAATCATATAAAATGCAATAAAACACAAACAAAAATATTTTAAATATTCATTTTATTTTTAAAATAATTCTTTGTACAATTTTCCATGTCAATATATTTCGATTTTCGATGTATTAATATTAAGAATGAGTGATATTTGATAATAACAAAAAATTATAGATTTTTCTAAATCACGTATTAAAAATAACAAATGACAAATTTGATGACGATTTACTATCTGAATTATAAATTATTTTAATAAATAATAGTATTTTTTAAATCTGTGTTCTAATAAAAATGTATGAACACAGATTTCAAAAATACTGTTGTTAATATAATTATAATTTGACAAAATCTCAATTTTTTAATATAAATACATTATGTATTTAAGATTATGTAAAGTTATATATTGCGATGAACTGTTGTCCATAAAATAAACAAAATATTTATTTATTCGATATCTTTGTAATTAATCATAAATCGCAATAAAACTTTGCACAAATTATATTGAATATTTAAAACTTATATAAAAAAAATTAGATTTTTGTTATTATTTTTAAAATTTTAGTTTATAACAATAAAAATAACAAATAAAATACATAAACTATAAAATGTGTTGTTCAATAAAATCGAAATGTTTTGAACACAACTTATATATAAATATATAGTTTGTTTAAAATATAAATTAACACATTTATAAAAATGACGCCCATACATCTTTAAATCCACTATTTCTATGTTTGGAAAATAGATAAAGGAAAAGAGGCCAAATAAAAAAATATTGTAAGGGATATGTTAAATTGTAATATGATAGCAAAATCTTTAAAGCACCCTCCTAAAATTGGTTTTCAATATTTATGCGCCTTTTTCTTAAGAAAAATCAAATATTTTCGTAATTTTTTAAATTAAGAGATCAAAATATTGTGTCTCGCATCAAGTCACGTACAGTAAATAACAAGATTATTATGTATTTGCGCAGAATTTTTAATTAAAAGTACTTCAAATTTCAGTAAGAATTGGATTAGTAATCGAGTTTGCAAGTAAACTTAAGGGCGATAATACATTTACGAAATTGTAGAATAAAACTGTTTATAGTTATGTTCTTTTTTTTCTCATTATTGGATCGACACATTATTAAATCATTTCTTTAAATTAGTTTCCTTATGTGATTATCTGCATATTTTGGTCGATATTTTTTTCCTAAATAAACTGATTTGAAGAATTAATTTTCTTTTGTAATTTTTTACTTAACACTTAACAAGATTTTATATTAATTATAATAATTTTAATATAATTTTATAATAATTTTTTTATATGACCAAATGATCAAATGTGCTTATATTTAAAGGATTAAATATATGAATAATATAAATATAAGTATACTATATAAGTACAATATAAGTATAATATATAAGTACAATTGCGGGCCTACGCACATGAATTTTGTGATGTTGATAGTCAAACTTGACAGTTTATAACTCAAAACTATTGTGACCTCAATTTTTTTTACTATAATTTTAAAACCTATAATTCCATACACTATTGAAATATTATTTAATAATCGTAAGACAAATGTACAAACGTATATATCAGAATAAAAAATATATAAAATGTGAGAAAGGCACGCTATTAAGAAAATAAAAGATATTACTAATTATAATAAAT